AAAGATGTAAAACGTGATTTGGCGCAGTTTATGTTCGTGGTGAAAATTGTAAACTGTCTTTTGTAAATATTTATTTCGTCTGCAAAATGATGTTTTAGACTTTCGTTCATTGACTTTTTATTGAAAATTTTATACCATCTTTATGTTAAGACGATCTCAAGTTTGTTGAATGTTTGCAAAGCGTTCCTTTTAAAGTTTTATTTGTAAATATATCGTTTAATGTAGGGACAGTGAATTTACTAATTTTACTCGATGGTATTGTAGGCGGTAGGCGGCAGGCGAGTGCGTGCTATTCAGACATAAAAGACACGTGAGGGGGCGCCGCGCTCGCCTGCCCGGTCAAACAGATTTGTATTCAAATGTTCTAGTGTTCTTCGTGTAATCAGCTATTCAAATGAAATAGATATGCAAATGTGGTTTGAACCAGATTTACAATACTTGTCATTGTGTATATTTTGGTGAAACGAAAATAAAATTTGAATCAATTGACATTTGTTTCTTTATGGCCTCAGTCCACGCCACGGGTAATACAGAATTAAAAAAATAATGTTATTCAATAAATATCTTTAATTAAATCACACATAGCTCGTCAACAAGCGATCTACACCATCTATTAACACAAATAATTCACAGAAAGATAATCATAAAATTAATAATTCGACAGAACTGAATCCTTATTTAGTACAGTCATCTTCGACAGTGGTATTTAAATTACGGAAATATTTTGCACTTTGCAAACGAACTTAAAATCTATGAATTACACATGTTTAATCAACAAACAAGTGTCACAGCAGTCGAAATACGCTATTTCCGATATATTCCGTTCAAGATTACAGCTTTGACAAAAATAATAACCGCAATCGAAGCTAACTGTACTTCTGGTTTAATCTAAAATTGAATCAAATACATTATGCAACCTTAACTACCTAGTTTTGTCAAACTTAACTAGCACACATTTGAACTTTTCAGTCGGAACAAACTACATAACTAACAATTTCAATATCTAAGTTATACAGCTATGAACATCAAGAAAGCATATTTTTCACACTTTCAGAGCGGTTACAAGCCTTTCCGTTATTTACTAAATACGTTGTATATTAATATCAAATTAGAATTAAATATAATTTAAGCATTTCATAAATCAAAATAACTTAGATATAGTAATATGAGACCAAAAAGAAAATAGCAAAAAAAATCACCTGGATTTTTACATATAATAAACGTTGAACTCATGAATAAATCTATTTATACCAAAAATGTAACTAAAAAATTTAGTAAAACAAACTAAAAAACGTTGAAATTTATTTGTCAAACACTACATAAATATAATTTTTACTCTCAGACATTAAAAACATCATTTCAAGTTATAACAGCGAACTATGGCAATATTCAGTAAAACTTTTAACATCTAAAATACACTCCAAACTCTTCTAAGACGGAATCTCCACTATTATTTTTAACCTATATCCATCGTTAAGTATTACGATCTATAATCTATATAACAAGTACAGTCAGCTGCATAAATATGTATAGTTACAAGAAACTTGTATATCAACATGTTACGAAATTTTAAATTTAATTCTTGCTAACACATTTTGTTACGTCTACCCGAGTTTCTAAAGTTCTGTAAATATGTCCATATTTATGCATCTGACTGTACATTATGCAGAAATACTTGGCAGTGAAACAAACTTATCTGGCCATGTGAATGATGCATTGTGAAATTTCAAAAACCTGAACCGTATAAAGATTCATTAAAAAAGACATTTACAAGTATCACGTCGCGTTTTTTACATTGTTATGAATAATGAACTTTTGAAATTTATTTTTCCATTGGTGAATGGTTTATTTTTCCGGTGGGGTCAGATAAATTTGCTGTTCTTTATTTTCTCTTCATATTTCATCTGTATACATGATGTACAGAGGAATATATAGTTTGTGTAAGCCAGGGTAAGGGAAAAGCTTTTCAACGTACCCTCTACTGCAGAGGAACGGAAGCAAACTAAAATGTACACATCAATTTCGACTTAAAATTATCAGAGATCGATATTATAGTTAGCAGCACTAAAACATATAATTACAGAAAACAAACACATTAAATGTATAATAAAATTAAATGACAACACAGCTCGAAGCACAGACGAGAAGTCTCGTCTTCTCTAAATATCATTAATGAGTATAATTATTATGACATTTATTAACGAGTTTAAAATAAGTATTTCCTCTAAGCAAGACTGTTTTGTGAGTCCATTCTCTTATTTACTATAGCTATCAATATCAATTCTCTTCCATTATGAATCATGAAATTAACAATCACAGGTTGCGGCTTATCGGTTGTTCAAACCACAGTCAAAGAAAAGCATTAAAACATAAATATAACCATTGAACACATTAATAAAAATCAAGAGTTTAAGGTAAATAGAGAAAAATCAATGATAGTACTCGCGTCGGTAGCTCTGCGGACTGTTGCCGTTGTAGTGATTATCGAGGTCGTCATCCTGCGCGTCGTTGCGCAGCTGCTCGTTGTGCACGTAGTACACGCTGTGCTCGCGCCGCGGCCGCGTGCTCACGTTCCGTTCCTCATCGTACATCTCGTACCGGACGTCGCCCGCTTCTTGCGTTTCATTGCAATCGCAGTCGTGAGACTCGCACGTCCGGCGCGCCTCGCGGTCGCGGGCGTACTGACGATTGGAGGTGCGGGGGGAGTGCGTGACGCGGGTGATCTGAGTGATGTGCGATGGCCGCCTGCTTGTATACCAAGGGTCATCGGAGTCAACATTGTTAGCAGCAGGATAGTCGACAGTGTGACCGTCGAGTGCGTACAG